TTACTAAATAACTGATTATGAAAAAATCCTAAAAAGAAAACAAATCATAAATTACCTGATTCATTAAAAAACTCCTCGTTATAGCTATCCTCATAAGTTTGAACATGAGAAAATCCCATTCTCGACTTCCTCAAATCTTCAGATGATCGATTGGCGGGATCCTGACCATCTTCAGTATCTTCATCTCCTTCAGATGTGGTAGCCGATATCCAGTCAACCAACACATCTGAGCCACGGCTTTTCCTTCCAAACTTAAGTAATCGTTTGAAGCCGCTCTTTATGTCCTTGCGGGTTAAGTTAGTATTGGATGACTGAGCCGCCAGCATGGGTTTTTGTGCTGTTCCCCATTTCTTCCTCATCCGGACTGAATCACTGTCTAATTGATTAAACGAGTTCGAATTCCACGAAAACGGACTTCCACCAGGGGACTCCATCGAGGCATCAACATCAGACGTCTCATGAGGATAAGTTAAGGGGTTTTGCCTGTGTGAATAATTCCATGAAATCGGACTTCCCTCGGACCAATCTTGCAAAGATTCACCAGTGGGCACCTCAAATGCCAAAGCCTGATTGGTATGAGAAAATGTAGCCATATCACCATTTTCCGATCCAGATTTTACGAGCTTCACTGATTCCAGGCCCTGTTTTGTTTCCCCATCATTACTAAAAATCTTCTGATCTTCAGAGTTGAAAGCCTCGAAGTCTTCATCAACATCATTCTCATCTGCACTAGCAAACTCATCAGTTCCAGATTCCACATCGTTGTTTTCTTCCTCATTTTTAACAAACTCAGACACCAGGGAGGCCTTTTCTTTAGCAATACTAGCTTGAGAAACAAATCTTGCTCGGCTGCCCTTTCTCAGAAAAGGCTTTGTCCCAACACTTCTCATAACTTCGCCATCGAATTTTATTGGCGTCAGATTAACACCGTCAGAGTCCAGTAGCGAAATTTCTCCAAAGTCGGTGGGATTTTCGGAGCTTTTCCTCAACGAATGCGACCGGTGTGGCTTATTCTCCCTGGAAATAACTGCTTCATCATTGGTACTTTTGCTGCGGGCATAGTTTCTTACCTGTGAACGTGTCGTTTTAATGTCTCCAGAAGAAGGCTTAGCATTTTCTTTTCTCGAGTCAGAAAAATTCAAGACGGATTGTGCGAGTGGATTATTCTCCAGTTGCATTCTTCTTTTTCCCAGAATTTGCGGATTTTTTTGTGACAGATCTTGGGATGGATGTTGCCGAGGCGTGAGGGGTAGTGGATGACAAGCTTCTGTTGGCGGGTAAATGCTTCTTCCCCTGTGCACCCCTACTGGAAGCACTATCCCTAAACAAGGTGTTTTTATCTAAAGCCCTATTCCCATGGAGGTGATTCTGCTCAGTAAAATCCAATGCTTCCTCATCCTCCTCACTACCCACAGAATCTAAGTCTTGCTGCCAAAAGGAAACTTCTATATAGTCGGTTAAAATTTAAAACAGGACACTAACTAACTCCAGTAAATCTTATAAACTAGGAAACAAAAAAGACGTTTCCATTCATTGGAGGCAATCAGGTGTAAAAATTTCCAGAAGAAAAGTATAAGTCTACCTGCTCTCTTTTTATAACCGACTTGCTATTACCATATGATCTGAGTCTCTCAGCACGTCTACGGGCACTTGATACTGAATTGTGTCTTTCTGCAGATCCTGTGAGATTGGCCTTCATCTCTGACTTATTCCTCTCAAGGCTATCCTGCATAGACTTCAACCGCGCTTCTTTCTCTGCTCTGTTGGATCTCCACTCAGCTCTCAGCTTTGCATCCCTTTTCTGCATATACTGGTCATAGGATTTCCCTCGAGAGCCTTCTTCTATTCTGAGCTCCGAAAAATTCTTATTTATAGCATCAAGGGGTGATGCAACATCGAACTTGGTCGAGTTCTTAGTGGGTTCAGTTGACTGGTGAATGTCAGACGATTGAGGAGCAACGTCTGGAACTGGTTTTGTGTACTGTAAAGTACTTGATGGATCAACTTGTGTTTCTCTTTCACCTGACCTTCCTTTTCGTATGCTGTTGGATTGATCTGAGGGGACTCGCAACTTGTGCTCAGCGAATAATCTTTCAAGTTCATTTGCTTTCATTTTTAGCTCATCATTAAGTTCCTGATTAACCTTTGACTGTTTTGTCCTTTGAACTTGGTCCAGAGGTGGAGTTGAAAAGGAATCAAAGCCTTCCTGAGCCTCTGTCACGATTTTACTGGAATACCGAATCCTGTTGCCACTAAAATTGCTTTCATCTCGTTGAACGCGTACCTTCTTGCTTAGTTCAGCTGTCAAACCTTGTCTATTCAACTTCAGTGTTTGAGGCCCCGAATCATCAATGCTCAACATAGAAGTAGTCGATACTTTTGCAGACATGTGTAAGATTTTCTTTTCAGCAACTTCAATCTCCCCAACAGATTTAACCTCTTTCTGGGCAGAAGTGGAACTCACACCTTCATTACCTTTATAACGAGAAGCAAATGCCCTTTTAATTTTAGAACCAGCTTCACTTTCAAGTATCCCCGACTCTACGGCAGCTTTTTGGTTAGCTTTTTGACTTTGCTTGCTAGACTCCTCGTTTGATTCTAAATCTTCCCTTTGATTAAACATCTCATACTGTTTTCCTCCTTTGCTTACGGAAGACCTTGTATTGGTTATGGAAGAAGCTTGATCATTGTGGTCAATAATCCGTATATGGGACCCACTAGATTCTTCTTCACCTACAGAAACCTTCACTTTCCTTGGATCCTGAAACCTGACAGCACCCTCGTTGTTAGCACTATCTGAAGTTTTACAGCTGTCTTCCGAACAGTTCTGATCGTCAGCCCTATTTATGAAAGACCTCAACTGAGTATTTCCAACCGCTTGATGTTTCAAACCATCACTTTCACTAGAACCCAAATACGAGCTAGACTTATTAGACTTAGAAAGCAGCTCAGAGTTATTGAAAGACACTGCTTTAGATTCACCACTATCACTAACATGGCCCAAGCTAGGATACATCAGCTTCATCTCTGGTTTAGAGGCAGAAGAAACCCCAGGGATATCATCATCATTTGAATTCAAAACCTTTTTGTCCTGTGAAACTACTGTGGCAGGGCTTTCAGAATCTTTCTTGTCAACACTCAAGTCAATGCTCATATCGCTAGCTCCACTCCACCTCCTCAAAACCGCCTTCTCCGGGAGTCCACCTGATGCCGAAAGGTCAGATGACAGCCTACGCGGCTCAGCAGGCTTCGCCACAACAGCAGGCTTTCCCCCGGAGCTCTCTTTCTGTTTGTTCTCAAACATGTTTATCCTGTCCTGAACACTGAGCCGCCTTGTATGCTGACTTGGCTGAACCGGCAAAAGCGGATTGGGAGTTGAGTTTTCATCTTTCCTATCTTTTTCTGGCACGGCCTCGGAAGGCTTTTTACAGTCTTCCATGTCAACACTGGATTCTCTGCTGACTGTACGACTTAAGGGGTAAGTGCTGACCGGGGGATTGGGCTGCTCAGACATGGCAGGTTCTTGGCAGGATGGTGGAGAAGTAGGATCATCATCGATGGACATGTCTGAACCATACGAGGAACGAAGTGCCCGATCATTGGGTTCGTATTTCCATAGATGGATGATTTCAGGCCGTCTCTCGCTTAGTGATAGGTATTTCCCACATGCTTCACTGCAAAGTTAGACAGCAGGAGGACTAGGTTATATTGAGTGCCCATATGAAAAGGAAGAACAACGGACAAACAAAAACATTTGGGGGAATGGGACTATGAATAGTTATGAAATCTTGTTCTTTTCAGTAACTACTGGTCAGATTCAAGACTTCTCTGAGATACATTTACCCAATAATTTATTCCACTAAGAAGCAACTAAATAAAAAATTAATCAAAAAAAATTTCAGTGAAAGTTCTCTATAAAAGTCATTGCTGTTCTAAGACCTATTACTCTATTCGGTGACGCTTGTCGAACTTTGTAATAATTCAGGTCTGAGGCAATAATGGGCCAAGTGGATGAAGGATATATAAGCCCGTGTTAGTCTACTAATTCAATATTGCTGGTGCAAGGTTGAATGTATTGGAAGTCAGAACAATTATACTGTGGAGATGTTTCTAAATGGTAAAAGAAAGTTCCCTTACTTTAGCCGATGAGTACCAAACCGATCTGCAAACAATTGAAGTTCTGAGACAGAATCAATGTTGAAACCGGCAGCAGCAGCACGAGCACAAGCGGTAGATAGATCCTGCCGCACTGCAAGAAGCCTTACATCGATAGCCCTCAGAAGCTCCTTCCTGTAATGTTGAGAATAATAAAGAATTAAGGGATGGGGGAAGTAAAGGGAAGAGAAAAGGGAAATGATGATGATTGATGAAAATTATCTCATGGCCAACCGTTAATAGTACTGAGAAGAAAGCAAAAAAAGGTTATTTACAAGGGAAGACAAACTAAATAGGAACAAGTTTCACTTATTTGGCCAGTGTACCACGACAAAATAAACTTAATCTCAATCTTTGCCATCCATGATACAAGATTAATTCATACACTATTTAACTAGTATTTACAACGTAAATGGATTCTCTCACCGGTCTAGCCACCATCTAATCAAATTCTAGAAAAAGTACACAGCCTGACCTTAACTCTCATGAATATACCAAATACCAACAAGATGTGAACCAGAGCAGCGCATTGGAAAAATAAATCATCTTGAGTAATGGCGAAATGTATTAATTGAGATCATTCCACACAAGCAACTATGAGAACAAAATACAAAAAGAATAAACAAAGAAAAATAATAGAATGGAAATGTTATACTTTGTAGCATCATCTGCAGCTGTCACACCAGATCCACCTCCACCTGGATTACATAATCAGAAAACAATAAAATAAGAAATCATAATTACAATGTCAATCAGACTAGAAGAGAAGGTGCAGTCATGTTTCTACAGACATGTACCCTGTAAAACCAAGAAGATGAATTATTCATTCAAACTATAAGTCCTACTCTTTCTCTTAAGTAAGCACCGTAGGCTGTCAATTGGCATAAAAATTTGCCAACGAAAGCCAGGACCGACTCACCAGTTAATATGGTAAGTTGTCTGAGGATGGCAGAATGAAGAATGGTTGTGCATTGTTCATAAGATTTCTTAAACTAATTAACTGAAAAATATCATAAAATAACAAATGGCATAACTGATAATATAACACATTATCTCAAACCTTATGCTTTCAACTTATGAAATCATGGATAACTATTTAGCCAAAATAAGACTGTTTTGATCTAATTCTGAACATCCAGCTTCCTCAGCTTATGCAGGAGGTTGTCTCATTTAAAAAGTTTTTGGTCACACTCGGCTGAGTTTCATTCTAATTTACTTTTAAGAATATTTGTTCCATAGTATATCCAGAAAAATAGAAAATAATACACACATAAAAACACACGTGAGGTGTCAAACAGGGAACTATCAATACATATTTTCAATGGGTTTGCCCCATCCAGGCATACGCAATCCAAAATGCAGAAAACTAAAAAATAAGCATTAGATCAAAACATGAAGCAAGAACTCGTACCAGAAACTTGATTTCCAGCTCCCTGAAATCAATTAAGAAAATAATTTAGTCAAGATCCTTTCAAAAGTACCACTTGAACCATCATGTAATACAGAAATATGTACCTGAGAGTATATCCTTCGAGCTGCTTCCAACTGTGACATCTCGGCATCAAAGGTATTGACTAGCTCTAAAACTTCAGGAGTGCTTACAAATCTTACAAACCTGAATATTAAGATTGTGAACTACACAAGTTAGATGCACAGAGCCAACAGCTTAGCAAATTGCAAATAAAAATAACCTCTCAAGTGTTCCCTTGGTGAACCATGTTTCAGCATTTCTCTGTCGTCCAACTTCAAGCTTAACTGACGGTGAAGCAGAGGAGAGCTGTTCCTCTGCAATCTGTAAATGTGAAATGAATGGTTTAAGCAATCCTGAAGCTATTTTCTCTGTGGTCCCATCACTGGAAACAAACAATTCGCATCTGTCCAAAAGAAGCTAACCTTAAATAAGTTGTACAACATAACAAGCTCAAACAAACATAGTATACTAAATTTCCTACCGTGAGTGCTTTGGTGACAGATGAAATACAGCGTAATCCAGTGGCGTGTCTGGCTTCATCTTTGCCAAACTAAGAAAAGCTACTGCTCTCTTGTTTGTCTTTCATGCATCTGCACCAATCTCAAAAAAATCTTGATTTATACCAGTGTTCTAGCTTTTTCAAGAACCATTTAAGCAATGACAGTCTGCACAAAATGATAAATATAACTCCATAAGAAAATATATAAATCCAGATTAAAACGCACCCAGATACTTTAAAAAATATTCATATATAATGGGATCTTAAATCATTAAATCAATCACACAAAGTCCAACTTCAAATTGGACCACATCAACAAAATAAAACATCAATAAAATACAATGTACTTAAAACTGAACCATTTCGTCCCCTGTGTGACAGTCAGAAAATAATATACAATTTATATTCTCTCAGATCTGACCACAGAAAAATCAAAATTGAAATGCTAAAAACATCCGCTCCATCTCAGTCTTATCCCGTTATCAGCTCAACCGAAAAGCAATGGACAAGTTCATTGACACTTGTCCAAAGCACTGGCAAAAATCCACCGAAAAAACGCTGAAAATCAAAATTATCGTAATGCCTACCAAAAAAAGTTAAAACGATCGGACAAGATTGGAAATCTTACCTCAACAATGGCAATGCGGAGATCTTCGATTACCCACCCGATCGACGAGTCAAGGGCTTTGATTACTGCAAGTTTTCTCAGGGCGTTCGACTCCAAAAATGCAAGGGGTTTGGGGGGATTTTGCGGAGGTTCAAGAAAAAAAAAATTACAAATACAGCATACTTTTCGCTTGACTAATTTAATATTCCGTAAAAATGAAAATGTAGATACAGTGTATGCATATATGTTTGTTTTATTTATGTTTTTAGCTTCTGTGAGGACAGAGATAGAGAGAGAGACAGAAAAGAAGCTATGTATGTGTAGAGAGAGAAAGTAGGAGAAGTGGTGGAGTGAAGATGAAGACTGCTAGGGATGGTGTTTTTGATGCTGTTACTTTGCGATTTTCACTCCAAAAAAAAAAAAATTATTATATTTTTAGTTTCTTTTTGCCAATAAAAGAGGGGAAAATATGTAAATTCTAGAAAAATCTTTTAACTGCGATGAAATCAGAGGAAACAAGACAGTCGCTGATGATTGTGAGACTGATGTTTCTTCCCCAATTCATACAGTTAAAACAACCACCTGGCATTTGGTTTGTCGAAATGACAGTTATGCCCACGGATCTTAACTGTATTTATTCTATCAAATCAACCTTCTACATACAACAACAACAAGTAAACCATACCATGTTAATAAAATTATAGTGAGATTTTTCTGGAATATGATATTTTAATCTATAGAAAATAATATATTTTATTTAGGTTAAGTTTTTACTAATATCTTATAGCTTAAAAATCTTAATTTAAAAAATATTATGTGATGCGTATCAATTTCTATATGATGTGTCATATTCTTTTTACCTTATAGCTTAACAATCTTAATTTAAGAAATATTATGTGGTGTGTATCAATTTTTATATGATGTCATATTCTTTTTACATTAGTCATATTAAAATAATAATTTATTATAAAATTTTATATGATGTCATATTCTTTTTACATTAGTCATATTAAAATAATAATTTATTATAAAAGTACTATTCATAATCGCTTAAAAAAAGAAGTGAAATCTATTACTATAATAAAAATCGGATTTGACAAAAAAAAGGAAGTGGAATTTCGAAGGTTATTGGTTAACATTGACTTTATCCGATATATACCAAATCGCATCCAAAATAATGAAAACGTTAGCCAAATATTTCAAATAAAATTTGAGGGGGAAATTTGAGCGGAACAATGGCAATTAATTTTTTGATTTTTTTTCTTATTTTTTCTTAATTGTATTATATAACTAGTATTAATTCTGTGCATATGCACAGGTTACAAAAAAAAGGTGAAAATAAGTAAATGTTATATATGAAAACCATAATTAAAACAAAATTTTATTTAATACAATGTATCACATATATAATCAAATTACATTAGAGACTCTTAGTTGGATTTTTATATATTGATAAATATGAGCAATAGAAATGTATAATTTACCATATATAAATGACTATTATTATATGAACATAATGAATAACCTAATCTTTATACAATTTGAATATTTTATTATAATAATAAACATAAAAACATTACCAAAGATAAGTTGATAAAACTAACATTAATTTACATTACTAAAATGGCTGGAAGAAAATAGGTAGGATTATTTATCATATATATATATATATATATATTAATTAATAATGAAATCTTTACAAATGAAAAGACAAAATAAATGATATTGTTATGATTTATTTTTGAAAATTTATTTCCTAAGCAAAATTCAAAAACTACATGTTATTTTACTTCAAATAATTGCCTTAATTAAAATGAATAAAAATAAGCATGAGTAACGTAAAATTGAAATGTTAAATAAATGTAAAATCAGAAGAAAGAATAGATATAGTTACAATATTATAATAGGTACATAAAAAATATAATTTTACTTACCAAATAAAGAGTGCAATTATATTAATTTTTAAGACATGGCCGTTACAATTTTTATTAAATATTAGAATACGGATTATAAAACAAATATAATTTTAAGTAAACATACTAAAAATAACTCAAAAAAATGAGCGGGAAAAGTAGGCTATCCGCATTAATTGAATATATATATATAGATAATAGATATTACAACACCAAAGTCATTAAAGTTTGAACAAAATACACCAACATTGCCTATTTGTAAAAGTTGTAAAATCTACGACAATCATAGTTGAATACAACTCCTATAGAATATTTCTATTCAATTTAACTGTACATAAATTAAATTATTAACCATAAAATATCAAACAGAAACAAATCAGACTATTTTTAATAACTGGTTTTCTATAGGAATCCCTAAAGCATCAACGGATAAATTGCTAAATTATCAAAAATCAACGAAAATGTCTTATAAAAATAGTAAAGGAATTATATACAAATTAATACTACATCACTTTCTTCACTAGAAGAAGGACTCCATAATCTTGCAACAAATTAAAATAACCACAAACATTGATTGGATCCACTTCTCAACAGGATCCATCTTAAATATATGACTAGCTAAAAAAAACACTACTGTACATAATATGAACATAAAATTTAAGGGTAATATTTACAAATGTGTCATTTTTCTTCATTCTCACTTTCCTCCAAAGCCATTCAACGGTCCCATGAATTTAGCAGAATCCTGGAAATAAAATGCAATTGTTTGACCTAAAGATTTTGAAATAAGAAGTGAGGTGGTTGAAAAAAAGTGTTTTTNNNCAAATTGCCTCATTTATGTATTGTACCGAAAAGTCTACGGTATGTAGCATCACGCAGTTAATTAGTTAGATTTTATCATTTTAATCTAGAATTAACAAAAATTATATAAGAAAATCTTGAATATGACTAATTTCTTGAAGAAGGAATGGTAAAAAAGTAGAAAACCAACCAATCGTAGCCACTTGTGGGGCTCTTGGGATCAGAGTTGTGCATAGCATTAGCAGCAGATTTTCTCCTCGACAGCTTCTTAACATTCCCGCCCGGGCTACTTGCTAAAAATACCCCCAAAGTAAATCAAAAGTACAATATTAACCCTGAAAGAAAGTGAAATATATTCCGAAACACAACAGGTAGATTTCCATTCACAAATGCTGCATAAAGCAGCATGATTATTTGTAGAAATTAGAAACTACACTCGAGTTGGCCATATTATGATAACATGTGTGAGTTGTGACATAGGAAAATCTAATTAGTTTTTGTATCTTCTAGCTAGCAATTAATTTTTTTTTTTTACTTTATTAAGGTGGGTTTATTTAACTATACATTGACGCCATGGTTTACACAAATATTGTTTATTTCTTTTTCTTGGAACAATGACAATCTTGAAGTATCTGATGTTAGAATTATGATATCCAATAATTAGACAATATTCATTCTTTTAAATTAAAATATCATCATATTCTAAAGCACAATATAAATAAAAATATGACATTTCATTTTCATAGCATAATATGAATTTGTCGCAAGCAAGCATATGACGAATCAACCAGACTCACGGTTAGGCTGTGTTTTTGTGATCAATTTAATCCGAAAATATCAATTTTTATGCATATAAAATGGAAATTATTCATACGCGAAAAAGGCGAATTTGGAGCAGTGGATCCAGAAGGAGATGAAGGTGCCGATTGAGCGCCAACGGAGACGGTGAGATTCCGGTGGGCGTTGCCACGTAGGACGGTGATGCTCCGAGAGATCTGAACGTCATCGGGCGGCGGCGGCCCGGCAGCGTTGAAAGAGTTGTACTTCCGCAGCTTACCGAGGCCCGATTCTGGTGCGGGGCCCGCCAAAGTTTCGTCCCAGAGTTTGTGGAGAAATCCCATGATTAATTGATGTAGAAATTCAATTTTTTTTTTTCAATTACAAAATATTTGAAATAATTTCCTTTTTGCAACAACCGTATATGAATTTTTCTGAGAGTAAGAATTGATAGCGAGACTGATATACGACTGTTACAAAGAAGATGATGTGAATTGAGTAAACGTAACTTCTTTTTTGGTACTTTTTTTCTAAATGATAAAAATGTGTTTTGTGGAGGGTTAGGGGGTCTATATAGAAGCGTACATAATAAAATTAGGCATTATTTGAATAATTTAGATTTTTATTTTTCTTTTGGATTTCGATGGTTATGAGAAAATTGGTGGCTCCCGGCTAAAGCGGCTTTGTTCGGAGCCGTGGAATATTTTAATGAAAATCCGATACGCTTAGCGAGATTTTAGAGGAATCACACGATCATCACTACTGATATTTACTATACTTGACAATTAACCAATTGATGAAGAAAGATATTTATGGATAACGAGGAATGGTTTATAGTTACAATGTTCATTTGAAAGAAAAAAAATTCATTTTCTATTATAAGTATGTCTGGTGAATACCATAAGTTGGTTTATAACTTATTTTATTAGTTTGTAATTTTTTTGTATTTAAATAAGTTTAATTTTGTAAGAGGAACTCTTAAAAAGTCAAAGAATATCTCAACTGCTCGGAGCTTCATACAATACAACTCTTATAAAAGCAAGAACCTAATGAGGGAAATAAAAACAAAAAATTACTAAAAGGCTACACTTGATTGCACCAACACAAACCCCTCAAAACTTCAAACTGGAACATGGAAGAACACGAATACGAACCATTCTGAAATTGCTCACCCATGTACATATTCCATCTTAGCCCAGCACTCAAATGCCGAGTAAGGTAAATGTTTAGCGACTTACAAAATGTAACTTTCGGCTCAATAAACCGGGCAACATTCATCTAGACACACTCGAGTACCACATTCTGACCCGTTATAATCTTTTGCGTTGGCCCATCTCTCCATTTACAGCTGGCCCATCTTTCTATTCTTTCTCCGGCTGCTCTCCCCAGCTCGATGTTTTCCCGAATTTCCATTTGTCTTCATATGAGCAGATACGGTTAAACAAAGGATTCCATAGTTAAAAGGAAAGCATCGAAAGCAAACTAATAAAAACAGAATTTGAAAGTAAATAATTTGCTCACCAAACTGCATCTCGCATGTTAATCTCGAATAAATTTGTAAATAATTTGATCAAATCTTGATTTTGTGATAACACAAGCGTAAAATATCTTATCGTTTTGTGGGATGAAAAAAATCTCAACATAATGAATCATATTGTATGATATAATGAAATTTCCAATATTAGAATAAAAATAAAAGGAATAAATATAAGGTATGATACATCAAACAGTTCAATAAAGTTCAAGAACATCTTGATAAAAGTTCTCTTTAGATTTTTTGTCATGTTATTACCTACTATCAAATAATTGGGAAATTTCAACTTCATATCAAAATCATAGGACAATGGAGTACTCATGAGTACTGGTAAATAATATTTAAAAGAGGTTAAAAATAGGTATTGGTAAAAGACAAACATGCATACCCCAAAGCAGAACCCTTGGAACTGGTTGCCTTCCACACCGAAATCGGTGGAGCTCATATCACATAAGTTTCTCTTGTTTGAGATGGAAAAAGAAGGCTCGTTGCACGAATCTTGTGAAGATAACTCAGTTGGAGGCGTGGCCGAACGAGAAGAACACCCAAACAACTCAGTGTCATTGTGGAATATCTCATCAAAGAGCTCTTGCAATTCTTCAAAGGTCTCGTTTTTATTTTCCTGTCAAACCATATACAGATACATTTGAACACACAAATGGGGCCACCACACTTAGCCACTAGTCCTATCTTAAAAACAAAATGTACCAATAAATGCAATGTGAGGCACAATTTCTAATAATTAGTCAGAGTGTTTCTTCTTCTTC